CCCCAAAACCCCAAAACCCCAAAACCCCAAAACCCCAAAACCCCAGCTTAGTATAGCTATGTTGGTAGGGTATTTAATTATATATTTGAGCAATAAAATGGGCTAGTCCTTTGGCTCAGGGGTAGAGAAAATCTCCCTGAAGGAGTCAGTTTCATGATTCACTCTTTGGACATCAGAGTTAAAACTACTGAATATCTTCATTGCCTCATCTTCTGCATTCATTGCAACGGCTGGATTCCGCCTCTCCGATTTGTTCTTAGAGTTGATGCTCTGTAAGCCAGATCCTAGTATGGGTAACTCAGGCCCATCTTGTTTCTTTTGGTGTGTCTTCTTGATACTTTTGTCACTAGAAATGCTTTCCTCTTCTTCGGGGACCTCAACACTAATTTCGTTGTGAGAGTCAGGCCGCAAAGATGTCCTAAGTCTTGACTTTGTTAAAGAGCTAGGGTTACTCAAGATCCCTTCAGGTTTGATAATTTTAGATTCGCTCGGGTTGTCATCATTTATCTGCTGGTTATCCTTCTCATGAATCTGGAATTTGCTGGAACCTTCAATCGGAGGACTTATTAAATTCTTTATTTCATTAAAATCTTCAGGATCCCCTAAGTTTTTGAAACTTGTAAGAGAATTGTCTGAAGATGGCTCTTGAACTCTATTAATACTATCATTCTTCTTTTTATTGTTAAAGATTAGCTTGTTAATCTGGTTATTTGAAGTATGCCTTCTCTTGCTATTAGAGGTCTCACGAATAGCTTCAAGCCTTTTGTGTGAATAGCTGCCACTCCTTTCTTGAGTAATACTCTGACGCTTGAGTAGCTGAGGAGTCTTGGAGATCCCAACATGATGAACAGCTGACATCCTCATGTCTGAGTTATCCATCCCATTAATTGTACCTCAAGTGTTGCATTGATAGTGCTGATATTTCTGTAGTTTTGTGATCTCAGTCGTCTGCTTAGTGACAATCTCTGTCAACTTTTGTAACTGAATTGATTGCTCGAGTATCAGTTTCTCCATCTTCTCTTCAAAATTCTGTGGATTTGCTTTAATAATCTTGTTTTTAACCCTATTTTATTTTCAGATTTCTCTCTTTTTTGATTCTGTCTTGGACCTTCTTTAAGAGATTTGTGAAGGTGTTTGATTTGTAGGACTTTACTATTCTGATAATCCTGTTTATGCCGTTTTGGAATTTCTGGATGGGTGTGATATCCCAATCTATGCCTCTGTGCAATTTGTAGTCTCAATAAGGCAGTTGATGGTTTTCGATATAGTCTTCATACTCACACATATTGTCATCTAATTCTTCAAATATGACTCTCAATTGCTCAAGAACTGTAAAATCAAGGGTAAGGTACGTCACATCTGTTAGTGCTTTACAGCTTGTACAATAGTCATCGTTGTTGAGAACGCTGTATGATCCAATAGTTCATCCTGAGTATAGTGTGTCAAGATAACTTTCATTCCCATTATTGTTGTTCATGATCAAGATTTCAACTCTTCCGCTAACAATAATGATGATGCTCCGGCAAGGAGTGCCGCTTTTGAACAGATAATCTGTTTTTGAAATATTTTTAAACTGCATTTTATACGAGAGTTCCTCGATAAGATCTTCAGGGACTTTTTGTTCCAAAAACTCTACATTTCTCAGCGACCTTTTTACAAATTTTCTCCATCTATCTTGATATTTTTCATGGATTTTCTTCTCCATGGTCTTCTTGACGAAGGAATAAGTATCAAGAAGTTTCTCAAAAGTTTGACTATCAAGGGAAGCACATGTTGAGTAACCCTGACTACGGACTGTTGCTGTACGAGCACAATCTTTAAGAAGAGCTACTTCTCCAAAGTACTCGCCTGGGTTCAAGGTTTGTATAAACTTGTTCTGCTGATTCTCATCTCTGACAAAGACATCTACTTCTCCTTTGGCGAGGAAGTAGAGCTCTTTGCCATAAGAGCCTTGCCTTCAAATCTCGTTTTCTGGGAAATATAGGACTGTGTGGAGGTCATGGATGATCAAATTGATAACATCTTCATTTTTATCAAAGACTTCCATGCTCAGTAGAGATTCATGGAAAATATGTTTTGTGACTTCAATCCGCAAGCTAGGAGATAGGATGTTCAAGAAGTTATCAAACTCCGTTTGTTGATCAAGAGTACTCTGCGTCTCAGTAAGGTACTCCTGAATCCTTTTGGATAAATTTTCAGGGACATTTAAGTTCTTCATGGTTGAAGTGGCATTCTCCACTTTCTCCTGAAATTGAGCTGATTTCCTGTAAATTTGTTGTAGCAAGACAGCAATATTTCCGAAAATATTTGCGTTTATAATAGCTGCAGCGAAGAGAGCAATTGAGAGGAAGATTATCTGCTGCTCTCCTTGAGGCATCATGTCATTTCCAGCCAAGAGAAGAATTGAGTAGTATATCGAGGTCAGATACTGGCTGAAGCTACCTGACTCATAGATATCGCTATTCTCATTGTTCTCGTCATACGGAGGGATCCACCTCTTATTGTCTCTAGCAATATAAAACCAAAAGCAAGCTATGAGGTGGAAATAGAGCAGGAGAAAGAATATCAATTGGAATAGCCTCAGCGACATTTTTACATTTGACTTGAAGTTAAGATATGTGATTACTCTTGATAGCCTGGTAAGTCTTATTAATTTCAGAAGTTTGAGCAAAATTAGAGTCGTCTCGATGTTGCTACTAGGGTTAAATGCAAGTAGGATTATATCTGTCGGGAGCGATGATACCAGATCTATCCAGAACCTTCCTATATTTGTAAAAATGATAAAGAGTCTTAAATTTTATAATGAAATTTCCTCTATGAGATACTACTCTAAATTTTAAAAGAAATTTTCACCAATAGAATGGCATAGGTTGATAATCCCAAGCCACTTTCTAAAGCTCGGAGACTCATGAGGAAAGCTTACCTTTTATATACTGAAGTCATATTTTATTGCTAGAGCCAACTTCTATCCCACTTTCTTGATCAAGGTAGGTTGTCCGGAAGTTAAATATGATATCAACAATGAAAAAGCTATCCATTATGAGATTAACTGCAATATTAAATGCACCTGCATCTGAATCAGGACTGAAAGCAATACTATATGGTATCTGGATACTATTCCAGATAGCTCATAGCATTATGAAGAGATCCCATCTTATCCGCTTCTTATCGTGAACTCTGCATAAAAACCTTTTCGAACTGAGATCAAGATCTGGGTCATCATCGGACTCTGTGGATAATTTCTCAGCTGTAAAGATAACATAAAATTATACCTTCTATTTTCTGTGTGACTTCATTATTCTTCTTTTCGTTCTCCTCCATGAATTTCTTTAGGCTAAAGCCTTGAGGAGTCTGAGAGATCATTCCTGTTTCTCCAAACTTACAGGGGAGAATTGCCCTACTCCTTCTGAGATTTGAATCAGGTCTCTTTCACTTCTCCTCTTTATTAGCTTTCCTGCTCACTGGAAGCAGCTGGTCCTCGCTTGGGTTATTCTTGGTATGTAGAGAAGATGTTAACAAAGACTTGCTCATCTTGCTTCCTTTACTATTAGAGTTTATGTTCTTCTTCGACTTGGTCAGCTCGCTTTGATGAGCACTGCTGAGCTCCGGTGAATTCTCATGTGGAGCTACCTTTTTCTTAATTTAATTTCGATGACTTGTCGGATTTGCGACCTAAACAAGATAAATGAAAATGCATAAGATGCGAAATCTTACCGCCGATAATCTTTCTTTCAGTGTTTTGAAGTTCTGACTCAAACCCGTTGATTTCTGGAGGAAACATTTGTTCTAAAACCAGTCAGAATCATTACAATTTCTTATTTAAAGTTTCTTAATGAAATGAGTAATTTACCTGTTTGAAGATTATCGTTCCAATTCTCAGTCTCTCCTATAAAATCTGATTGAAGCTAATGAAGAGTAGCACATATACGAAAACAGACAGCAAAAGTACTTGGAGCAGGCATACTCAGAGATTACGACTTATCTATGAAACGCCCAAGTCTGTAAAGCAAGTATATCCACAGTAAATATCATACCCAATATGAAGCATTATTCTTAACTCAATAAGCTCTTGATGCCATTATTCCTTACTGTAATGGGAAAATAATTTCTAAGACCATTTCTTTCATAGTAACATATTAACTTGACTATTTAATTTTTACTAAAATTTAGTAGATTTCCCTGCTGCAGTACCACCAAACCATAATTTTCATGAACAAAATGGGATTATAATAGCTAGATTTTACAAATTTTTGAATAATTAGAACAGGTTATTCCCAATTTCACTGGTGAGGTTGTCGACCTTGATGGAAAAATGTGAATTATATATCAAGAAAAGAAGAGATTTGCAAAAAGAGTAGGAGCTGATTTGGAGAAATTATTTTTTTATAATTTGGGAGGGAAATTATGAAAATCTGTTCATTGTAAATTCTTTGAAAATGTGAACAAATTTGCATGTTTTAGACCATATCGTTAAAGGAGTTTAAGCAGCAGATCCTGCTTTGGAAGTATCTGAATAAAGAAGTAGCTGAAAGAAGTCAGAAAATGTAAAGTATTCATGGAAGTGGTCGGAGGCTGGTGCTTACCTTCATCTTGATCGAAGTCATCTAAATTGTCTATTTCTCCTTCTTGTTGCATGATTGTTATAAGTAAATATTCTATAAAAATTGAAGGGTACGGGGTTTTGGGGTTTTGGGGTTTTGGGGTTTTGGGG